CCTCATTCAACTCTAATAATAACTCCCCAAAATGCAGACCTTACCCATAATCGTATTGTATGAACAATACATTATACATGACTTTCTTTTATCCACAACTGTAATTATATATGCCATGAAAAAAGCATATCATAAAAGATATAACAAAGCGACCAACTTAAATTCAAGATGGTCAAAGTAAGTATAGAAACTCAATACCGCTTCTTATGTGCTATTTACGTATAGTAATAAAAGGATGGTTTTTCTAAATAAAAAAGATACGTACACATATCCAACATAAATGACATAGTTCATTGTAAGAGAGAGAAAAGAAGGCATATATGTTGTGTTTTTGAACCCATCAGTGCCTCAATAGTCTTTGTGATCACTATCCAATGTGTCATACTTTTTGTCTCTAGCACAAATCATCATCATCCAACGAAAGTAAGCTATTAAGTAATTGATATAAATAGGACCAAAACAATTGAAAAGTTCCAAAATAGGACTAGTTATTGATTTATTACCAAAATAGGAGTTTTAATTGAATGAGCCGTTTCTCTTTCCAATTATACCCTCAACTTTAATTATTTCCTTTGTCAGGGTTTTATCCTCCAGGTTGCCTCACGATCGTAAATACCCTTCCACCCACTTCCTTCTCTCCTCTTTCCCCACTTCTCTTTTCTTTCCTTCCTCCCCTCTGCTCGAGCACGTACTCAACTACCTCCACACTTTCCCTTGCATCTCTCCATCTCCGGCGGATATGAAAGGTTGAACGGCGATTTTTTTTCTCAACTCAGATCACAGGCGGAGGGATGGCGGCTATCATAGGTAAATTCCGATTTTCTACTCCTCTTCCTCTTCTCCTTCTTTTCTTCCCCTTCTTTTTCAACCTTTTGGTTTCCTCGACGTGCACAACCTTTGCTTCATGAGAACCGACTATGTTATTATAAAAACTTTTGAATATTTTTTGGATTTCTTTCATATCCTCTGAGATCCGCATCTCTCTCTTTTTTTGAAATTTTGAGATCTGCATGATGCTTTCTTCAATCTTCCTTTCCTTTTTCAATTTTTCTCACTTTTTACTTTAAGCTACCACGGAGTATTTTTTACATTTATGTCAATGAATTTTTTACTGCTACAAATTAAATTTATGATTTTAATTCCTAATCACAGCTAACATTATGGCATTAAATGATTAAAATTAAAATTTCTTCTTTGCACATACATTACTAGTAATGCCATGTTTTCTACGTGAATATATTATTTTGACATTTAATGTCATTTTTATGACATTAATGGCAAAAACAATACCATTAATGCCATGTTTTTTCATGTATGAAAATGTCATTTGTGCACATAATGTCATTTTTATGTCACTAAATCTCTAGAGATGACAATATTATTTCCTTGTAAATCAAATATTTTTATATAAATCTCATTAAAAAGGTACTCAAATAGTTAGATGACATTTTCAAACATTTTTTCCAGATCTGAAATATGTGGTGGTGGTGCGGTCAAAGGTGATAGAGCCAAAGATGGTGGTGGTGATGGTGGTGAATGAGGTGGACGGCGGTGATGCAGATGGTATCGCCGACGACCGGTAGTAAAAGTAGGGGCACCTGGCCGGAAATGTGACACTGTCGAAGCAACAATGGCGACGGAGATTGCGGTTTCGCCGGCGGCGGTCGGTGGCGACTAGCAGCTACGGCAGAAGGCACCGAGGTGGCCGGCGATGACTGGTGCAACTGTGCAAGTGCTGGGTGGTGGTGCGGGTAAAACATATGGGTGGGCCAGTGGGTGGGTGTTGGGAAATGAACAATTCACCCTGCAGTATATTTTTAATACTCCGTAATTAAATATAGTACTCATTAAGGGTACTTTTGTCATCTCATTCCCTTTTACTCCTACGAAAGTAGAGGGATTATTGAACTCCTATTTGTGCATTTTTGTTAAATTTTACTCCTAGATAGGAAATTAACTCTAAGCTATTTTACATAAAGATCACAAGAAGTAACCAACAAAGTAAATGAATGTGCCTACGGGACTAACAGTTCAGCTAAAAGTGAACAAAAGAAACTGTCATGGCCACATTAAAAGTTTAGAAAGCACGCTACTGCTGAATACTGACATGGATCATTTGCAAAGTCCCTTCTTAACATCTATTTGGAACAAAAATTACAAAATTGAGAGTGCTTATAGCTCACAACCTTGGTCATGCTTAAAATTTTCTATCTTCCCTTGAAGAATCATTAGTAAAAAGTGCCTTAGCCAATCCTATACCTAGCCCATTCCTAACCAGAACCTCCCTCTCTCTATGTACTTGGCAGCCCTTTTACGCTTGACCAATCCGAACCTAGAACATTAGATGACTACTCTAAACTTAATGTTAACACTACTCTATAAGCATTATTTAAAAAATAAATCCAAAACTGAAAATATTCTATTTTCAAACAACAAATTGGATAATAAATATAAAACTTTATAGACACTTTGAATTGACTATTTTATGGATGTGGCTTGCTAAACTTTTCCTTAACCGTAGCGTCCTCCAAACCACACAACTTTTCTTAATGTAGGTATTAATAGAAGAAATTCATCCACTCCATATGGAACTGGTGAACTCGTGCGGGAGGTGATGTTCGATCAGGGATGAGGAAATGGCTAGTGAGAGGGATTCTCCCTTTAGTATATAGGATTAGAAGCACTCATTGTTTAGGTATGATTAATAAAAGACACATGTACATTTCGTATGATGTTGTGTTTGTTTGGTTCTACACAAATAAAAAGCTATTTAAATTTCCTGGAAAAAGACCGAAGTTGGAAGCATGATAATAAATAGTTAATAAAGAAAAAATGGAAGATTGAATTAGAATTACCTGATTTTAAACAACGATTTATGGAAAAGCTAAGCATGTGTATCACATTTGGAGCTATTCTTAAGTAAAACATCAAAGTAGTAGCAGTAGAATTACTACTCCTACACCGTAGTCTCAAAAGTAACGTCCTCGTCTTAGTTGAAGTTTATATATGACGATGATGGAAAACCAATAAAAAAGATTTTAATGTGGTTTACAAGTAAGTATCTATTTAGTACGTAGTAATTTGTAAGTTTACATATTCATTTACTTTTGTTAAAAACAATATGAGTTGCTTTATTTTTATCACAGAATTTCTTTATATTTTCAATTTGGTATGCGTACTATCACGAAAAAGTCAATTAGGTCCTCATGCTTTGAAAAAAACCATTCAAATCATCAAATTTTATGAAAATGTTCAATTGAGTCCATTTGCAGGTTACTTGTCATGTCAACATGTCACCCGCTGACGTGACACACATGTTACAGCCCACTCAACTCCGGCTTTGCTGACGTGACACTCAAGTGGAAGTTCAGACAACAATTTGTTGATGACGTGGCGCACATGGGGACCGCCATGTGTGCATCACATCAGCGGGGGACCTGCAGACATAATAAGTAATGTGTAATTGTGTAAATGGACTCAATTGAACGTTTTTACAAAGAGAACTTGATTGATTTTTTTTAAGTACGAAGACCTAATTGGCTTTTTCGCGATAGTACGAGGACCAAATTGACAGTTTTCCCATTTTCAAATAATTTATTGCTTAATAATTGATTCTCGTGCAACGCACGAGTGAAAAATCTAGTTACTCAAATTAGGAGTAAAGTGTAGATTACACAAATAATAATTTATTTAGTTTAACCGATAGGAACAACTAAACTTTTTTAGGAATGAATGACTCACTTTTGGTGGAGAAAAGTGTGGTCTTAATTAGAGAATTATATTGATTTAGAGTAGGGGTGGACTCAGGCCGGGTGGCCCGACCAGGAACCGGCCCGAACCGGCACTGTTCCGGCCCGGTGGCCCGGTCAGTGACCGGTCCGGGTAGGCCCGACCCGCTGGGGTTCCGGTCCGGGCTCGGGCCCCCTAAATCACGAACCGGCCCGGCCGGTTCGGGCCCGGTTCCAGTTCGTTTATTTTTTCAATTTTTTTTGTTTTCGGGTTGAGCTTGGTATTTTGGGCCATTTGGGGTGCTTTGGGGGTGGGGGGTTAACTAGGAAAAGGAAAAAAAAAAAAACTAAGGCCCGAGGCCCAGCCAGGCCCGAACCGGCCTGACCCGGACCCGGGGAGTACCCGGGCCGGTTCCGGGCCCCCCATTCCTGAACTGCCGGCCGGGGCCGAGTCCACACCTGATTTAGAGGGTGTTTAGATCTGATTCTTAAAATGTTCTTCTCCTTCAAAGAGCATAAGCAAAAGTTCGAATGTTTGGTGAAAGTGCAGAAGAGGATTAGGTGCTCTAATAATCTAATTTACTCCTAGAATCCGTTTTTTAGAAGCTGAGGGAGACTCGCTTCTGAAAATTGATTCTGATTCTGCTTTAAAAAAAGAAACCTGAAGCAGAATCAGTTCCAAACACCCTCTTAATCCTATTCAGAGAGTATACAGAACATAATAACTTGACGACAACAATTTAGTATCAGTATCCCTTAAATTCTTAAAATGTCATTATGTTATCAACCTGGACAACATAATTACTATAACTACGTAACTTAGTCTTAGTGTTTCTTTATGTATTTCAGTATTTGTTGGTTCATGAAAAGATTTCTTATTTATCAAAATTACAATATCTTTGATATTTTGTAACATAATGAGCCCGTTTGGAGAGCTCTGTTTTCAGCTTATCAGGCTTATCAGCCAGCTTTTTCACCAAACACGTAACTTTTACTTTCGCGCGCTGAATTGTGTAATAAGCCGAAAAAGTAAGGTTAGAGTTACTTTTCTGGCTGTATTGGCTGAAGTTACTGTAGATGACCATTTTAGCTATTTTTACATATAATTTTTTCTTTATTTTATTAATAAAATATATTTTTAAAATATTTTTTTCTTAAATCAGCAGAATCAGCCAAAACAGCCACTTCAGCCAAAATATCATAAATTTCAGCAGAATCAGCCAAAACAGCCAATTTTGGTGCTACCAAACGGGCTCAATATCTTTTTAACTTTGACAATTAGGCCTTTTAAATTAGGGAATACTCGTACATTACATAAGGTTCATCACAAGTTCTATTGATTTGGTAACCGGACACAACTCTACCTGTATGCTTTTCTTTTGGCGATGAGGGCCCATAGAAGTGCTAACAAATTAAAACATACTCCGTACTAGTCAAGCCCTATATGATGGCTCGACCGAGAAGGTATTGGTAGGGGAATGAATTCGTGATCTCTCAATCACTAATTCAACCGATTCGACCACCCTTAATGGTTTACCATGTATGTTCTCACATTGCCTGCCTGTATAGACTTTACATCTTTGGCTCTCAAAGAACATAGCAGATTCAAGCACGGCTAAAGATTTCCCGGTGCAACTAATTCATAGCATATGCTTCGTTAGAAAAACTTGTCGCTTCCTTGCAAATCACAGGTTCGCTGCTCACAATCAAGCTTACCCCATCGTGCATCAACCCGTTCACAGGGGAAAATAGGTTTAGCCAAACTGTTATGAGAACAAATTCATGAGATTAGCTCAAATGGTCATATTGCGCTAATGTGCAAGATAGCACACACTACATGCCATGAAAGCAATTAAGACTTACTGTCATGTTTTACACTGTTTTCTTTAAATTATTCACAAATATATGTTTCAAATGTACTTATTTCTCAGATAGTTCAGTCTAGTCAACACATTTAGCTACAATTTCTACTTTCAGTCTATCAACCATTTTGGCAAAAAACAGTAACCAAATAATCACAAAATTTTACTTAGTAAGAATAACGGTATATTAGATCAACTTTTGTTCCGTCTATCAAGAAAGGCAAGTTAAACTGGTCAAAGAATAGCGCATATCCATTATTAGGGATGGTTCAAAGAAGATGCCCAAAGATTTACAGCACAAAATACCTTCTATTAACAATATTGTGAACGCGGCAAAGCCATTGTGAAAACTGAGCTTGGGATCCAGCTTGGACGGGATTTGATCTGCATAAAAGATGAATAATTAATTGATTTAAATTATAAACTATCTTTCCAACTTTGGATATGAACATCGAGCTTATGGCAACACGAGAGAGGAGTAAATGAGTATATACCGCAAAACTTCTTTAAAATGATCGGCACACTCCTGACAAGGGTACATGCGAGATAAAATTGCCATCTGCAAATAAGGTGAAAGAGGGATTAATGAAAATTTACTGAAACAAGAAACAATTTTAATGCCTGTTTTGTTACTTTCTTCCAAAGTGTAATCCAACGCAATAAAAATATTTATCCAAGTGCTTGAAAGAGCACGAATGAAATCTAGAATTGTAATTGGCATTAACAGAGGGACTTTGACATGGTCATAGCCTCATATAAACTATTTAGTGCTCGTTCTCAAGTAAGAAGAGCTAAAATTCGATTTTTAGCCTCTTAATACAGATTGAAAGATAAAAGGAATTAGAGGAGCGGGGATTGTGTACCAATTCTTTCACATCTTTCTTCTGTTGCCTGGTTGGCTTCTCTGGGTACTGAAATCCACATCCAGATATAGAATAAATGAAAAACAATCAAAAGCATCAGCAAAAAATGTCGTATGAGCCTCAATTACATGTCGTATCAAAGAGAAATACCAGCTTCTGTGCAACTTAAAAGCAACATGCACATAAAAGTATAAAGGATATAGGCTGATTAAAAAACAAGAAAAAACAGGAAATATGAAGAAATAAGCATGAAATTACCTGAGATGCAAGAGTGTGAAGAAAGGTCCAAGTGGCCCTTCCAAGTTCTTCTTTAATCACTGGGCCATCAAACGTTTTCTGAATGGAATTGGAAAACAGGATAGTAACCCATTAACAAACTGCATTAACTCTAAATCTATATCATGTACAAATTTGATATTTTTTCTCAACGAGCATGAAACGAAAGAGCAACACAAAGCTGATTTGCATGAATGTTTACTAGACTTTGTATCGAATATCTAATGGGCACATATTACTATTTACCTATTTCCTGAAAAACTTTCAACAAATGCAAATGATGCTCAGACGAGATAAAAAAGAACCAATGCAATCACTCGTGTGCTTGAACTTACGTTCTTTGGAATTGGAGTGGGTTGGAGAAGATCTGAGGTGGCACGTCTTGGAGCCAAGTCGTTTGATATTGAAGTAGTGGAAATACCAAAGGGTGGGTTTGTAGTGTTTGGAAATCGTAGGAAGTGGGAGAGATGGGTTTGGATGCTATTTGATACCTTCTCGAATGATTGGGAGATAAGCTGCAACGGATTCTCTGAAGGCGACATGGGAAACAATATGCAGGTAGGAACAAGACCTGCCTGTCTCTGGCCCTGCGCGGCTCTCGCTCTGGTTATTCCGTTCTGCGATTTGCGGATTTAGGAAGAACAAGACCGACTTCGGACTTCCGTCTTCACCAGTGGTGGCCTGTTTTCGTTTCAGTTGGATTTCTGTTTATTTGAATTTGTACGAAAATAATTTGTACGAAAATAATGGAGAAACTATCAAATAAGCCCCGTACTATACCGAAAAAGTCGATTAGACCATCGTACTTTACAAACACTCAATTAAGTCCTCGAACTATTAAAAAACGTTCAATTAAGCCCTTTCAGTCGGTAAGTAACTGGTTTCCCGGTTAAATGTAACCCGTTTCCCGGAAGCCGCCGTTGCTGGGGTTCGATCACATCGTCGCCGTCGTCGCCGTTTAACCGGGAAACCGGTTACTTACCGACCAAAAGGGCTTAATTGAATGTTTTTTAATAGTTCGAGGACTTAATTGAGTGTTTGTAAAGTAAGAGGACCTAATCGACTTTTTCGGCATAGTACGGGGGCTTATTTGATAGTTTTCCCAAAATAAAACCACTTTTTCTCGGTTTGGTTTCGGTTCAGGGTTAGTTTCGTTCGGTTCGGTTTGAACTTAGATTTATCAATGTAAAAAGTATTATGTTTAATTTAGTTCGATTTGATTCGTTTTCTCATGTTTATTACGAGTATTTTATTTGATCAAGTTCTATATTTTAGAATATAGAGAGGGGGTAATCTTCCGGTCAAGCCTTCCTGACCGGAACCGCCGTCCAGAAGTTTGGGGCCCTTCTCGGTCAAAATTTTGAATGCATTTTTTATGGCATGTTCTTCATCAAATCTTGTTTATCCACAGAAAAATTCAGCTAAAAATTCAACCGAGAAGGCCGTCAAATGAGTTTTCGATTTGATTGGATTTTGAAATCAAACCAAATCACCATCTTTCGATTTGATTGGATTCCGTTCGATTAAATAAAACCATTTACAAGTTGTTCTGTTCGTCTTATTCTTATTACTTATTACTTATTCTTAATTTATTCAGATCAGATCAGATCGGAGAAATTCAGATGAGATCAGAAGCATTCATATCATATCAGAAAAATTCAGATCAGATCAGAAACATTCAGATCAGATCAGAAAGATTAAGATCAGATCAGAAACATCCAGATCAGATCAGAAAAGTTCACACATGATTTATCACGTTTATAATAATAATAACAATTATTATTATTATTATTATTATTTTCATTATTATTATTACTATTATTATTATATTTATTATATCAATAGTAATAACAATAATAACAACATTATTATTATTATTATTACTATTATTATTATTATTATTATTATTATTATTATTATTATTATTATTATTATTATTATTATTATTATTATTATTATTATTATTATTATTATTATTATTATTATTATTATTATTATTATTATTATTATTATTATTATTATTATTATTATTATTATTATTATTATTATTATTATTATTATTATTATTATTATTATTATTATTATTATTATTATTATTATTATTATTATTATTATTATTATTATTATTATTATTATTATTATTATTATTATTATTATTATTATTATTATTATTATCATCATCATCATCATCATCATCATTAGTAGTAGTAGGAGTATTATTATTATAATTATAATTATAATAATTATTATTATTAGTATTATAATAATTATTATAATTATAATAACAATTATTATTATAATTATAATAATTATTATTATACTTAGTAATTACAATTATAATTATAATTATAGTAATTATAAATAAATATTATAATAAAATTATAATTACAATTACAATTATAATTATAGAAATAATTAGTACTAATAATATAATTATAGGTATACTTATTATAAGTTTGATTTAAATTATAATTATAATTATAATTTTTCATAACTATGGCTATATTTATAATTATATTTAAATTATATTAATTATTATAATAATTATAATTATAACTATAGAAATATTCAGATCAGATCAGAAGGATTCAGATCAGATCAGAAGGATTCAGATCATATCAGATAAGAAGGATTCAGATCAGATCAGACCAGATCAGAAAGATTCAGACCAGATCAGAAAGATTCAGATCAGATCAGAAAAATTCATATCAGATCATAAACATTCAGATCAGGCGAAGAGAACAGCTTCTTAGTCCACCCCTAGTATGAACCATCAAGGTCACTAGGTCAAATTATTTATGAACTATTATTATTCTTTTTTAAATAGGAAAAACTGTCAAATAGGTTCTCGAACTTTCATAAAAAGGTCAAATGAGTCCTTATATAAGAGGCTTTGTCCGGCCGTCGCGGCTTGGGGCGGTTCCCGGTGGAATTTTTTGATGAAAATTTTTTAGCATGTTATTCATCAAGTCTAGTTTACTCATACCAAATTTCAGCTAAAGCTTTAATCGGAAACCCATTCAAATTAATTTTTGAAGATAACCGTGTAGTTAAATGCGCAGGTATTTCCAAGGATTAATTTGAATGCGTTCCCGATTAAAGTTTTAGCTGAAATTTGGTATGAGTAAACTAGACGTGATGAATAAGATGTTCAAAAAAAATCATCAAAACATTCCATCGGGAACAACCCCGAATCGCGATGGCCGGACAGAGTCTCCTATATAAGGACTTCTTTGACCTTTTTTTGAAAGTTCGAGGACCTATTTGACAGTTTTCCCTTTTAAATATATTGAGCATAACCATTACACAAATGCTCCGTAGTAAATTACTCCAAATAGAAACACAACATATATAAAGTATAAAATAATTGGTTTTTTCCATAATATTATTAAAATAAAATCTATTTACACACAAATATGACTAATGTAGTGTTATGATAACTCAAAAGTTTAAAAATTGAATATAAATTATTATGATTTCATTACTACTCTAGTCGTCAGTTCCATTTTCTAAACAAACTTTATTTTAACCATAAATGTTTCTAAAAGAATTTTAACTAGGAGTAGATAAATTTTATTTTAAAGGGAAAAGAATATTGATCCATGTAGACTTTAATTACTCGGTATGTTTTATAGTTCTATAAATTTTTTCTCACACTTTCTATCATTAGTGGTACCAAAAGTGAATGTCTCTCACTAGTGTAGTTAAGGGTGGAGACAGACCAGGTCAGGCGTCTGCCTAAACAGGTCGGGCCTGTTTTAGAATTTATAGGCCTGAGCCTGACGTGTTACCTGTTAAAGGCTTGTTTGTTCGGCTTGAGTCTGGCCTATTAAAAAGCTTAGCCTGACCTGGCCTAAAGCTTGTTTAGTGGGTCTGTTAAGAAAAAATCAAAAGTTCAAAAAATATATAATAAAAAGTGAAAAATTCTTATAACCCGATATAAAATTTATTCCGCCCAAATATTCACAAAAAAGTTTAATATTACGTTAAGGTTGCTTTAAATGACTAATAATAAGTTAATTATGTAGCTTATAAATTTTCATGTACTGCAAATCTTGAAAGCCTTTGAATTTCAATTACCCTAATAACCTATTAACGCACTTTATATATTTGAAATAGTATTCTAATTTATAATACACACTTCATAAAAATATTATTATGCTTAACTTGCTATAGTTAATTATACTCCCTCTGTCCCTGAAAGAAGTTCCATTTTACTATTCATTGGTCAACTTAAATCACTCTTAATCTCTTACTTTTTATATCAAAATTTTATAAAAGTTGAATTATTTTTTGCAGGCTTTGTAGCGGGTTTAATGTAGTTTCTGAATATGTAAATTTTATTTACTAAAAATAATCCGAGTTTTCACAGGGATCATTTAACTTTATCGTCGGTCAACCTCGTAATCCGCAAATGGAACAACAATAAGGGACGGAGGGAGTACTAAATATAAATAATACAAATAAATATAAATATAACTAAATATGTATACAAACATATAAATAGGCCGTCCTGTTAAGCTAAAAAGACTTTAGAGTTGAGCTAAGTCTGACCTATTTGGGTAAACGGCTTTTTGAAAAGCCTATGCCTGCTTTGATTATTAAACAGGTCAGGCCAGACCTTAAACAGGTCAGGCTACATGCCCCTGTGTAATGAATGTGGAATACACATCACACTATCTACCTCACTACCCGTATAATACCCTGTATGCTATTGTCTGTGTCCCAAAATATGTTCGTCATTATATAATTCGGATCATGATTATCATTAGTATAATACTTTTAAAAGAAGAAATTTTGTAATTTTATAACATTACTTTTGAGAAAAAACATTTTCATATTATTTTTATATTATAAATAATTTTCAAAAACAATATACAATTGATGAATGTTTTAAAGATGAATTTTTTTAGGACGAGAAAATATGTATTTTTTATTCCTTAGAAAACATATCTGCCACAATCCTATATATACGGAGTATCACAATTTTTCACACACCATCCGAAAAATTATAAAAACTATAATGTTTTTTACACTTCATACCTCAAATAAATTTTTCACACACTTCCTATATGGGTCGGGTCAAAGTGGTTTCAGATTGTCTTTGCTTAGGGCTACAATTCGATATACGGTACGCTCAAAACGGATAACGGGTGAATGAGAAATTGATTCTCGAAGTTCACTCGTTGGTTCGCCAGAACAATCGTTTAAGTGATTAAACGGTTGCTCGTTAGTCATCGTATCCTGGGAAACGATTCTTGCAACGCTCCTAGCACCCCGGGAGGCAACGAATACATTTTAAGGAAAACGTGCGTAGCACGAGCTTTGACTAGTTTCTGTCTCATGTCTTTTCTTGTTTTCTCTTTGTCATTTAAATTAATTTTAATTAATTAATTTTCTTTATTTTCTGAAACACACCCTACATATATAAATACAGTGTTATATATGTGTGCGCGCGCTAAGGAAGAACAACGTAGGGAGCAGAGAAGTCAGAACGCAGAGAGGTATTCAGATAGATGGGGGTATTTTTGGCTCAAACAACATAAATGAATCAATATAAATATTCCTAAAGTTTGAACTAATTACAAAAAAAACCGAGAAGCAGTTAGAAGCACCACTACACCAGCTTTTAGCTTTTAGATTTAAACTTTAAAGTGCTTAATTGAAGCAGAAGCTGAG